ACATATAGTTAATTTAGAATTTTATTAATATTTATATATTACGAGATAAAATGTAACGTTATAGTAATAAATATAACGTAGAAAATTGGTCTCTATGAGGTTACCTCTTATTTCTCAACTTTATACAACAACAACAACAAAAACCTTTATTAAGACACTATTGTCTTACAAGGGGATCCCCCTAAAAGGTTATATATGTACATGAGTGAGGAGGAAAAGCAATTTAGAGGGGAGGGGGAGCAATCAGCTGTTGTCTGTGGAGTTGAGCGCTTCTTCTAAACTTCATACAACAACAAAGACCTTTATTAAGACACTATTGTCTTACAAGGGGATTCCCCTAAAAGGTTATATATGTACATGAGTGAGGAGGAAAAGCAATTTAGAGGGGAGGGGGAGCAATCAGCCGTTGTCTGTGGAGTTGAGCGCTTCTTCTAAACTTCATACAACAACAAAAACCTTTATTAAGACACTATTGTCTTACAAGGGGATTCCCCTAAAAGGTTATATATGTACATGAGTGAGGAGGAAAAGCAATTTAAAGGGGAGGGGGAGCAATCAGCTGTTGTCTGTGGAGTTGAGAGCTTCTCATAAACTTTACACTAAGATTGTTTACCTTACAATGATATTTGCGGAAGAGCGATTGCTCTAAGCATATTATATATTTATAAATGTATGTAATTCTACTGTCCTCAAAGCTTATGTCCATAGTTCTTCTAAAATACCCATTCAAAGAGTCTATCAACAGTATCACTATAAAAGGAAGTTCCAAAAATGCAATATAACAGCGGTATGGTAGATTAAACTGGCGAAACCGCTGGGAGGGTTCACCACTGATGAGCCAGGCCATCTCATTAATTTTTCCATTGCAGTAAGGGCAGTATAAATTGTTTAATATCAAAAAGAATCTTACAACTTTAAAATATTTTCGAATTTTGTTTACAAGGATTTACATAACGTGTTTATTTCTCAATTTGTAATTCTACCTGCCATCATGTTAGTTACAAATTTGTATATATCTTGGCTCTCAATGTACGTCTATATAATTGCACACATCTCACATCACACCTTGTCTTTATGCCCGTTGAAGAACAATGTCGTTCGAAAGATAGCGAAATAAACATGTTCTAAAGAAGAAGTTACTTTTGAGTTTATAATCTTACAATATATTTATGACAATCGAAGATTAATGTCTACATCCTTACTGAAATTTGTCTCTATTTGTTTATTGTGATATTAATTGAAGCGATGATGTAAGCTTTTCTTTTGGAATACTGAATTGTTTTGATTTATTATTTTCATAAAATTTTACAGTTACCTATTAATCATGAATTCTATGATAGATATAGAATGTATATCTGATATTTAACGTTTGTCGAATATTCGAATTTACAATATGTTTTTGTTTAGGAGGTAAGTTATTTATTAATAGAGTTTCTTTAACGACCATCCAAGTTAGCGACCACACTTCTCAAAGAGAGAGAGAGAGTCACAAGTCTCTACCCTTAAAAGAATGATATCCTAAATAGAAATCTAAGCCTACTATTAAGATACCACTTAAATATTGCTTCACAAAGCTATATTTTACTTAATAAAAAGTCATAAATAGAAAATAAAAATCTTAATTATTTTATGATGAAGGTAAGTCACAATGGTGTTTTTAATCTTTTCTCAGGTGATAGAATTCAGCATTTTTTATATGAATTTTGATTAGATTATTGCATAATTATTTACTACGATAATCATTACATTAATTTTTGTTTTCAATGATTATTTTTACGAATGATTTTACTATAAATTTATTAAGAAAAAGGCATCTCCTTATCGTGCAACTGAAAGTTGCTGATGGCTTGCGCCATCTATCGGAATAAATATCAACTATTCTCGTTGATTTTTAATTATTCCAGAATTGGCCAAATACCCATCCTTGATTAATCAAGAAAAGCTAACCACGGACGTGTTTCGGGCTGTTGGCCCTCATCAGCGTGTTGCAAGCTGTACCTCAACGACCAAAAAAATTGGTCATTAAGGTACCCTGAAAAATCACGAAACGGGTAGTTAAGGCCAGATTTGCGTGAGAACGCTACACAATGTGAAAAAATAGTACAAATGTACGCTCTCAATGTACGTCTATATAATTGCACACATCTCACATCACACCTTGTCTTTATGCCCGTTGAAGAACAATGTCGTTCGAAAGATAGCGAAATAAACATGTTCTAAAGAAGAAGTTACTTTTGAGTTTATAATCTTACAATATATTTATGACAATCGAAGATTAATGTCTACATCCTTACTGAAATTTGTCTCTATTTGTTTATTGTGATATTAATTGAAGCGATGATGTAAGCTTTTCTTTTGGAATACTGAATTGTTTTGATTTATTATTTTCATAAAATTTTACAGTTACCTATTAATCATGAATTCTATGATAGATATAGAATGTATATCTGATATTTAACGTTTGTCGAATATTCGAATTTACAATATGTTTTTGTTTAGGAGGTAAGTTATTTATTAATAGAGTTTCTTTAACGACCATCCAAGTTAGCGACCACACTTCTCAAAGAGAGAGAGAGAGTCACAAGTCTTTACCCTTAAAAGAATGATATCCTAAATATAAATCTAAGCCTACTATTAAGATACCACTTAAATATTGCTTCACAAAGCTATATTTTACTTAATAAAAAGTCATAAATAGAAAATAAAAATCTTAATTATTTTATGATGAAGGTAAGTCACAATGGTGTTTTTAATCTTTTCTCAGGTGATAGAATTCAGCATTTTTTATATGAATTTTGATTAGATTATTGCATAATTATTTACTACGATAATCATTACATTAATTTTTGTTTTCAGTGATTATTTTTACGAATGATTTTACTATAAATTTATTAAGAAAAAGGCATCTCCTTATCGTGCAACTGAAAGTTGCTGATGGCTTGCGCCATCTATCGGAATAAATATCAACTATTCTCGTTGATTTTTAATTATTCCAGAATTGGCCAAATACCCATCCTTGATTAATCAAGAAAAGCTAACCACGGACGTGTTTCGGGCTGTTGGCCCTCATCAGCGTGTTGCAAGCTGTACCTCAACGACCAAAAAAATTGGTCATTAAGGTACCCTGAAAAATCACGAAACGGGTAGTTAAGGCCAGATTTGCGTGAGAACGCTACACAATGTGAAAAAATAGTACAAATGTGACATTGTACTGGGATAAGGTGCATAAATTAAGAAAAAGGCATCTCCTTATCGTGCAACTGAAAGTTGTTGATGGCTTGCGCCATCTATCGGAATAAATATCAACTATTCTCGTTGATTTTTAATTATTCCAGAATTGGCCAAATAGGCCAAATGGTTAGCTTTTCTTGATTAATCAAGGATGGGTATTTGGCCAATTCTGGAATAATTAAAAATCAACGAGAATAGTTGATATTTATTCCGATAGATGGTGCAAGCCATCAGCAACTTTCAGTTGCACGATAAGGAGATGCCTTTTTCTTAATTTATGCACCTTATCCCAGTACAATATCACATTTGTATAAATTTATTATTATTCATTTCATATTCACGAGACAGTAGAAATACTTAATAAAAATAGCGATCATTCTGAAAATGTATTAACATAATAACTATACTTTATTTTGTTTATTTATATGTTTGCTGCCTTATCTTCTAATGTCGTCTGCTTTCAAGCGCTATCTGGTTCACGCATGCGCAGTTCATTTCCTTTCCATCTACGTTGCGTGCGGGGAAGAACTTCGCTGTTTTCTTGGCAGCGTTTTAAAATGGTTATTTTTGTTCTAAGAAAGTTATGTGGAGACTATTCAGACAAATTTGACATATTGGTTTGGGAAATTCTGACGTGTATATGTCATATTTATGGCGGAATAATATGGTCAAGATGTTCAAATTTTCCCAATATGAATAATATCTTTTCTCGCTGAATAAAGAATATTTAAAAGATTGGCGCTGTCAAGTCCTACATTTAAGACAGTTATTCAAATGAAATGGTTCACGAAGCTACAAATTTCTTAATAAAAAATCATAAATAGATAACAAAATCTTAATTATTTTATGATTAAAATAAGTCACCATGTGATGTTTTCTATTATTTTCTTAAGTGATGGAAGTTTAGTATTATTATTTGAATTTTGATTAGATAATTTTATTACTATATAATTGGGGGTCGGTGGAAGGATGGTCTAAACCGTTGGTTTTCGACCGCTACGACCCGGGTTCGATTCCCGCATTGGACACTTTTTTATGTTTAAAATAATGCTTCAATGGCCCCTGTTTCTTGCAAAAGTCCAACCTCACCGGCGAGTGCAAGTAACCAAACGGGGGTTCTGGTACATTTGTAAGTGAAAAGTCGAACTGCCTTTCCCATGTGTAGACATGTGGTGCACTTAAGGTAAAAGCAGTCGCCTACTTCTACCCACCATGATTATCATGGCCTGTACCACGTGTACTAGGGATAAGCAAAAATAAAATCACTATATAATGCAACGATCAATACATGTTACGTTGTTTTGGGTGGCATTGTATTCAGTTTTAAAGAAAATGTATTCTTGTCTTTTTCTTAATGTTTAATAAATCGGTTTGCTCTTGGTTCTTCTTTGTTGTTTTGAGATTTTAATGCTTCAATGCAAAAAAAAGGCATTAGATTGACCCACACGAAATATTTACAATGTTTCTTTCATATTCTTGCGATGAATTCACGCATCCTCTCTCTCTCTTTTCTTCCAAGTCGATTTTAATCTTGATCCGAATTATTTCATTTGTGATATAATTTTAATCTGAAGGGTATATACCGATTTATAATACAATATAATACGGCTTATGATTGTAAAACGACACTTAGCAATTATCCCGCATGTGTTTCTTTTGAACTAAAAATCGATATTTATTTTAAGGAGAAATAACGATTATTTCTAACCTTAGAGATGAAGTATGAAAGGATGAATTGTGAAGAGTAATGATAAACGGAAAAATAAAAGTGTCCAGGGATGGGAATCGAACCCACATTGTTCCGTTTACCGGGCAGATGCCATGTATACACTTAGCTACCCTGGGCATATTTTTCCGTTCGTAAATATTATATAAAGTAATTTATAATACAATATAATGCGGATTATGATCGTAGAACGACATTTAAAAATTATCCCGCATGTGTTTATTTTGAACGAAAAATAGAAATTTATTTTGAGTCAACCATGTTTTTCTCTATACATTATTTATTTGGGATATTAGGTAAAAGTTCTTCAATCAACAATATTCATCTGTATAATATATTGTGAGATGTAATTAAGGAGTATGTAAATTTTGGCTAATACAAAAGAAATAGCCAAATTAACCACATCGTTCTTTTTTCTGATTCGGTCATTCTTTATATTTCTTCGAAGATACAGTAAAGCTTTTGTTCTCCAAGACTTTGAGTTATTTATCTAATTTACTCTATTCTACAAAATGATATAAAATATAAATAATATTTATTTATATACCCAGATAATAAAAATTCATTTTAATTTTACAAAACTTTGAAAAATAAAAAATATTATGAAAAAGGCATCTCCTTATCGTGCAACTAAATGTTGCTGATGGCTTGCGCCATCTATCGGAATAAATATCAACTATTCTCGTTGATTTTTAATTATTCCAGAATTGGCCAAATACCCATTATTGATTAATCAAGAAAAGCTAACCACGGACGCTTTCGGGCTGTTGGTCCTACTCAGCGTGGTGCAAGCTGTACCTCAACGACCAAAGAACTGGTCATTCAGGCATCCTGAAAAATCATGAAACGGGTAGTTAAGGCCAGAATTGCGTGAGACCGCGACACAATGTGAAAAATAGTACAAATGTGATATTGTACTGGGATAAGGTGCATAAATTATTAATAAGGCATCTCCTTATCCGTATTTCACAATAAAAAATATATAAATTTATGTCAGAATTGTTAGATTTTGTAGACTGTATGAAATTAACTGTAGTTATCTATTTTAAATAAATTTGGGTATTTTTTCTGATGTAAGATGTTTATATCATATATTCTTAGTTGTCTGGGATTGTAACAAAGTTTTATAACTTCTAGGACTCAATTAGGTCATGGAGAATCAAGGTAAAAGTTGATTTTCAACCTTGATCATTAATTAGAGCTTTATCAGTTATGGAAAATCAAATATTAATTAATTTTAATTAAATATTAATTTATTGGAATTGGGGAGACAAAATTGGACAAAATGTTTTGAAAGCAACGGAATATTTTATAGTAATTATTGATTGATAAAACAAATCGTAATTTCTCGAAAGAAAATACATCAGACTCATATATAAATATTTTATAATATATATATATTTGAAAATAGAGCAATCCATAAATAAATATTTAATTAAAAAGGCATATTTTGGATCAAAATATCATTTATTTTAACAATATTTCAGTATGCTGAACGCCAACCTTTATCAAGGTGTTATTAATAAACATAACATTGATATGGTATTATACACCGAAAAAGGTTGGCGTTCAGCCAACTGAAATATAGGTAAAATAAATGATATATTGATCCAATATATGCCTTTTTAATTTAAAACCAAATATATATTTGCTTCTGGTATAATCTGGAAGTGGTGTTTCATAGAAGGTTAGGCTAGTTCAGTGAAATTTATATTTACGATTTGATAAAGGTATTCTTCGAGGAATTATACGTATATTGGGTGAATCCTTGCTTTAATATCTACCAGTTGAATGATTTGAATATAAATATGTGTAAAAAAATTAAATATCAATCGTGATAGATATTGGCACGAATATAAAATTAGGTTTATCTCACTAAATAAATACTGAATATAAAATATTAATGGAAAATTTAATAAAAGGGGAACTATTTTAGATGCAATCTGTCTTCTAAGTTGAGGGAATGGTTTCTTGGGCTGGTAGCCAACCGTTCGTGTGAACGGATTTTAGCGATAGAATGCATTGTGAAGTCCATTGTCACATTTTGAAATTAAAATGATTTATGGTCACATTTCAATAAATTATTCACAATTTTTGTATTAATATAACAACAATGGGTAAATATATAAATATAGTAGAACATATCAAGATTTATTGTCCAAGAACATTGATACTTTTGGTCTTTCTCTTGGAAATAGTCGTGTATTTAAGGTTGAATTAGGAATAAGTAAAAATGATTTTAGAAGATCTACGAATGTGGTTGATCATGATGATAAATAATTAAAAGAAGAATAACCCATGGAATTCTAGTGGTCGATTATGCTGATAGGTGATTAAAAGAAGCATAACCCATGGGATTCTAGTGGTCAATAATGCTGATAAGTGATTAGAAGGCGGATTTCTAGTGGTCAATAATGCTGATAAGTGATTAGAAGGCAGATTTCTAGTGGTCAATAATGCTGATAAGTGATTAAATGACGAATAACCCATGGAATTCTAGTGGTCGATTATGCAAATAAGGGATTAAAAGAAGGGTAACCCATGGATTTCTAGTGGTCAATAATGCTAATAAGGGATTAGAAGGCGGATTTCTAGTGGTCAATAATGCTGATAAGTGATTAGAAGGCGGATTTCTAGTGGTCAATAATGCTGATAAGTGATTAAATGACGAATAACCCATGGAATTCTAGTGGTCGATTATGCAAAGAAGGGATTAAAAGAAGGATAACCCATGGATTTCTAGTGGTCAATAATGCTGATAAGGGATTAGAAGGCGGATTTCTAGTGGTCAATAATGCTGATAAGTGATTAAATGACGAATAACCCATGGAATTCTAGTGGTCGATTATGCAAATAAGGGATTAAAAGAAGGATAACCCATGGATTTGTAGTGGTCAATAATGCTGATAAGGGATTAGAAGGCGGATTTCTAGTGGTCAATAATGCTGATAAGTGATTAAAAGACGAATAACCTATGTAATTTTAGTGATCGATTATGCAAATAAGTGGTTGAAAGATGGATAACTCATGGTGTTCCAGTGGTCGTTAATGCGGATACACGATCAAAATATCGACCACCCGTGGTGTTTTACACGGTATTAACATTATAATACTATGACAGCTCTCCTGATTTCGAATTTCGTACACGATTGTTCAAGGTTGCGAATTCTTACCACAAGAATCTTATAAATTCAAACAATTAAAAATTTTTGAATTCACAAATCTTTTGTTGCAATATATATTAAAGCTGGAAATATCTGTAAAAATTTAAACAATTATTATTTCCTTAATTAATTCTTTTGTTATAATATCTTAAGACTTTTGGGAATTTTTCTCCTCAAAATATATAGAAGATAATCTTCTACAAACAAACGATTTTAGAATAGGTAATATAACTATTTTCTTTTATTTTGTGCTTTATATTTGTATAAATTGTGTAAAAATAATACATGTAAATTGCAATTAATTAAAAAATATATATGTATATACACATTTTTTGAAAATAGAGCAATCAATAAATTATTAAATCATTATAGGTAAAAAATAATATATTGGATCGAATAAAATATTTATTTGTCAATATTTCGGTTGGCTAAACGCCAACCTTTATCGAGGCATACAAAATAGGATATACAAAAAGGTATACAAGAATGTAATGCTTGATAAAGGTTGGCGTTCGGCCAACCGAAATACTGACAAATAAATATTTTATTCAATCCAATATATGCCTTTTTACTAATATATACACATATACAGATTTATTAAGACCACCGGTCTTATATAGATTCACCGCAGGAAGAAATAATATATAGAGATCCTATACCCCAAGCAGCACAGAACCTAACAACAGTCTCCAGGTCCTATGTATGTCCAGTAGCCACAGATTCCACCGTGAAAATATATAAATGCATATATATATAAACTATTATTTTAAAATTTCGTGTATATTTTTGTCGAAAAATCTAATCTTATCAGAATTTTCTAAGATGCCAAAAAGTTATTATTATTTTTATTATGTATCATAATTACGACAATTTGTGACAATAAAAATAAATAGATATAAAATATGATTTATTAAACAAAAACAATGGATTGATTTGATATATATATATATTACGTCAATCTTTCCATCTATTGGGCAATGAACATTCAGTGAGAAAAAGGTGGTGTATAGACAACAATAATATAAGATGGGATTATTTGGAATGTCCATATGAGGATGTAAGCGTAGTCTTTTTTAAGAGAAAGAAACAGCGTTCTATTGCTAGATATATTCCATAGAAAATCTGTCATTGAATTTGTCTGGAATTTCCAATATCATAGAATACATGCTAATGGACAGCTCAAGTGACAGGACCCTATTGATATATAATCCTCTCAGAATCTCAAATTGTTCCTAACCATTTTATATTATTGTTGTCTATACACCACCTTTTTCTCACTGAATGTTCATTGCCCAATAGATGGAAAGATTGACGTAATATATATATATATCAAATCAATCCATTGTTTTTGTTTAATAAATCATATTTTATATCTATTTATTTTTATTGTCACAAATTGTCGTAATTATGATACATAATAAAAATAATAATAACTTCATTTTTCAAAAAGGTAACATGTTTTACTTTAAAAAGTGTAACGAATTGTCAATCTATTTACAGATCTTTATTTACAACATCAGAATAATAACAGTAAAAGTAAACAAAGATAATTACATTTGTTATTTTGACTCCTGATCAGTACTGTGGTCCTCACAGATAAGGTCCTCTGATGTCCTGCAGCTCTCCAGCATTCTTTCTATGGCCTCTCCTATATAAACCATTTTTTAAATTCAAGCTTTCTATATAATTAGAATTCGATATAATTCGATAATTTCCAATATCAGTATACACTCATTTTCTTTATAATATGTGTCCTCTTCGTTATACTTCTTAACTACACTCAGGAGGCAGGTTATAACGTCTTGACAATCTCTAATACCAGTCATGATCATAAAGAAATTAAAGATCTTTTTTTACGATGAAACATTTTAACTATTAATTCAATAATCCCTTTTATCAATATTATAAATATAAAGTGAAAACATCAGTCTTTTAGCGATATTTTTTTTTTCAAAA